GGGTGGCCCCCTGGCCCCGACCTCCCCCTGGGCTCGCCCAGCTGGCCATCCCCGGGGGAGGAATGCAGGTGGCCCATCCGTCGCCACCAAACCATCAGAGACCAGACCGGGCGGCCCCGTCCAGGCCAGCCCCTCCCACAGGCGCACAGGACTCTGCAGGTGGTGGACTGCGATGCTGTGGGCACGGCCCTTTGCCACGGACAAGGTGCTTCCCCGTTGGCAGAGTTCTCCTGTGGCCACTGTTCCCCGGCCCTCCTAGCAGCACTGGCTCATCCGTCCCTGGTGGAGCCAGGCCTGGGCCAGCCCCCCAGCCCCTCCCAGCAGCCCCAGGGCCCAGGCGGGGCAACCACCACTCCCCATGTCACGGGGGACACGTGAGCTCCAACCCCTGTAAGGCTGGACTGTTTCAAGTGACCCCAGGCCTTCTCTGCCATCAGGGCTCGGGGCTCGGGCTGGTGGGTCCACAACCCCTTCCCAGTGTCTAGGGCAGTGGTTCTCAACCTTCTTAATGCCGCGGCCCTTTAATACATCTCCTCGTGTTGTGGTGACCCCCAATTTCATTGTGACAAATTGAACATCATTAAAGCATAGTGATTACTCACAAAAACAATACGTAAGTATATATGTGTTTTCCGATGGTCTTAGGCGACCCCTGTGAAAGGGTTGTTCCAAAGGGGTCTCGACCCACAGGTTGAGAACCGCTGGTCTATGGGAATGCCCTCTGGCCTGTCTCCCATCTGTCCGTGAGCAGTAAGGGGTGGGCCCTTCAGCCGTGAGGTGCGGTCGGACAGGCCTGTGCTGAGGAGGTGACCCTGTCCCTGGGGCACAGCCTTGCACAGCTGACCAGGGGCTGCTCTTCACTTACACCCAGGAGTCCTCCCCGGGACCCCTGGGAAGCCAGCATTTAAACCCCAGTTATGGCCTGGCTGGTGTGGCTCAGTGGTTGAGCATCGATCGACTCAGGAACCAGGAGGTCACGGTTTGATTCCTGGTCAGGGCACACGCCAGGTTGTGGGCTCTATCCCCGTAAAGGGGTTATTTTTTAAATAAGTTTTTATTGATGTCAGAGAGGAAGGGAAAGGGAGAGAGTGACAGAAACATCAATGAGGAGAGAGAATCATGGACCGGCTGCCTCCCGCCTACCCCCTCTACTGGGGGTCGAGCCCTCAACCCGGGCATGTGCCCCGACAGGGAACCGAACTGTGTGCTGACTCCGGGGCCTCCCAGGACATGCAGCCTGAGGTTGGTCACTGTCTATGCCCTGCCTGGGGCCACCTGGCGTGAGCTACGGCGTGATCTGCAGACGGCTGCCACCCTGGGCCCCGTGGTGAGAGTCACGGGCACCCTGAGGTCGGAGGCTGCTTGTTTGAGGGATTTAAGGAACATCCGCAGCATCAGCAAGACAGGCTGTTTGTAAGGAAAAGCCACTGGGAGCGGCCCAAACGCCGGGTGGGGCGAGATGTCAGGAAACCGCCAGGGCCGAGCAAACGGTGTGAGCCAGGTTGATGGACACGCAGATACGGTGCCTGCCTGCGGCCGGTTCTATGGGGTGGGGGGTGGGGGGGGCGGGGAACGGCTCAGCCAAAGAACAATGGCTCCTGCCAGGGAGAGCACGGCCCCTCCCACCCTCGCCCGAAGCTCCGCAGTCAGACCATCCCCATATGCTCCTGATGCCTTCCAGGATGCTAGGCCAGCGCTGGAGCTCAGAGCGAGTGTGTCTGAGCAAGTCCACGCACTGGCCCTTTAAGAGGAACACCCGGGACTCCCGGACCCTCTGTCTCACTCAGCCACCATCCCTGCTGGACTTCTCTTCCTGGCACTGGAGCCCCGGGCTCGGGGGCCTGGTGTGGGGCTGGGACCCCTCGCTGGGGGGGGGGGGCCCTCCACAGCTGGGACATCCCTCCCGATTTTATCCGCTACCTGTGGGTGTGCACCGGCCGGTTCCTCTCCTCCACCCCTCCCACCAGGCCCAGCGTGGTTCCCGCCTTAAATCCCTAGTCGAGGGCGTCCGTTCAGCTAGAGTTCAGGCGGTTCTGAGAGTCGGCTGCCCCGTAGCGTCGTCGCGATGCTGATGTGGTTGTGGGAGGAGGCGAGCACCTGTACGCCCCATCCTGACCGGAAGGCAATCACACCTTCCTTTCTTTCTTTCTATTTGAAGAGGACGCTGACTGCAGCCGGGACCGTGAAACCAGGAAGGGCCCAGGAGAGAAGAAGCAAGGAGAGCCCCAGGGCTGCCCCGGCTCACGGAGGAAGGGGGCCTGGGAGACAGGGGCGGGGTGAGCCCGGGAGGAGCTGCTGCTGCCCACGGCTCCCCTGGTGGCGAGTCTCTGGGACCCTTAGAGTTTAGGAGCCGCACACACGCCTGTGCGGGGAGAACGGAGGAACGAGCCGGTCCCCACGGTGCTGGGAGGCTCCGTCACGCATCCACTCCAGAGCCCGCACACTCACACACACTCACACACACTCACACACACACACACACGTGTGCTCACACATGCGGCGCGCCATGCCCAGGCCATAGCGTCCTGAGCCCCAGCGGGGAGGAAATGCAATAATTTCCTGGAACCTTGGCCGGGAGTACAGAGAGCCATCAGGGTCCCGGGGCCTCGGAGAGAGGAGGAAGGGGCGAGGCCACCCCCAACTCCCTAGGAGCCTTCCCCTCAGGAGGGTCCCCCGTGCGGACCCTGGGCCCTGACTCCGGGTCCTGAGATCTGACCCAGGTCCAGTCCCAGCCACTGCAACAGCCAGTGGTCAGGACATCAAGCCACCAGCAGGCAGCATCGCCTACGGGCCGGGCGAGATCCCGTCCCCCCAGGGAAGTGCTGGCACCGACCCATTTCGCAGACGGGAAAACTGAGACCCAGGAGTGGCAGCATCGTGTCCAGAGCCCCAGCTCCCCTCTGCACTGCGGACGGCACACACAGGCCCTGGTGGGTCTGGAGCAGCAGGCAAGGCTCAGGGCCGTCCTCATCCAATCCCCACACCCCAGGGCCGGCCCGGACCCCAGTGCCCGCGAGGTGGGCCCTCTGGACCCCCACCAGCCTCCTCTGCAACCACGCACTTGACCAGTAGAGCTCTGGCCTTTACAGGCCAAGCCTGGAGGCTGGGCAGACACTGGGGCTCGGGGCGTGAGGCGGGGGGCAGGGGGGTCCAGGCAGGCCCACCCTCCGGCAGCCCTGGCGTCTCTCCCTCCGCGACAGCAGGCAGGTCCCTCCGTGCAGGCCTAGCCTCCTCCTAAGTGAAGCGCAGCCACGCGTCGCCCTGGATTCCGGGAGGAGCGGGGACCCCCTACCCCACCCCCGCCAGGATCTGGCCGAGGCAGGCCTTTCGGAGCGGCTGTCGCAGACGGACATCACAGAGCTGAGCCCCCACCAGCCCTCAGGGCACCCATGTACCCACAGCCCAACCCACTGGGCCCCGAGGCCGGGAGATGCAGGCCGGCTCCCTGCTTGCAGCAATGGGATCAGAGCCAAAGAGGCAGATCTGAGGCGTGAATATTGCTAATTGAAGAAAAGCAAAGCCCGGCCGGCGTGGCTCAGTGGTTGAACCAGGAGGTCACAGTTTGATTCCCCGTCAGGGCACAGGACCAGGTTGCGGGCTCCCTCCCCAGGGTGGGGGGTGCAGGAGGCAGCCGATCCATGATTCTCTCTCATCACTGATGTTTCTCTCTCTCTCTCCCTCTCCTTTCCTCTCTGAAATTAATAAAAATATATTTAAAAACACACACACAATAAAAACAAGACAACTGTCAGAGAAGAGGCCTCATGGCCACAGGACATCTGTGGTGTGACCGCAGGTCCGGGCTGGCCCTCCCGGGGCCCTGGCTGCCCCAGGAGGCCCCCCCCCCCCACCCCGCAGGAGGAAGCCTGGTGCGGGGAGGACAGGAGCCTGGGTCCGGGAGCCCCTGAGGAGCCCGAGCAGCCTGCGCCCCTCTTGCCCCTGAGCTGTCACTCAGCCCTGTCATCCCAGAAGGGGCCCTGGGGGAGGACCAGACCAGGAGCGGGTGGGACAGGGACAGACGGACAGACAGGGAGGAAGGAGGGAAAGAAAAGGTGAGTGAAGGGAGCCGGAGGGGTGAGGCTGGGCCCATCGCTGCCTGGGGGGGCCTGGGGCTGGGACACGGCCGCTCCCCCTGCCCGGGACAGTCCCTCCGGAAGCACAAACAGCCTCTCTGACAAGGACCAGGGAGGCA